CTGAAAAAATGGTGATGCAGATGCTTTTATGAAGGAAAGGTCAAGTACAAATTGAACTGTTTTAAAAGGCATGAATGGAGTTTTGTAGTCCCTCAAATGTGTTCTAATACCAATAGAGGGAGGTCAGTCTAGAGATTTTCCAAATAACGTTTTTGCACTGAAAATAGTGGGAAGAAGTGAAAACCCCAACAACTACAGGGAAATCTCTATCTGAGCGAAGCAGGCAGGACCCAAACACAGATTTAACAGGAAATACCTTTACTTAAAGGCTACAAGAAAAATACAGAGCTCTTTTTTTTATATTAAGGATCCCCATTAGCTTTCGCTCTTGACAAAAGCTTCTCTTCCTGGGGTCCGACACTAAAAACAATACAACAACATTCAAGACATAATTCCTGACATAATTAACAACATCACCCATATCATCAACAATCTCATCCACTTTCAATATCAATCTCAGCCATGGATGAGTGCAATAGACACCCACCAGTACAAAGCATGAGATCAAATTAAATTAGGGTTCACAGCTCACAAGGGTACATGGTCATTAGTAGATGGCCCTTCAATGTCAGTGGGACCCCGGACGGGGCAAGGGCTGGTGTCGACTGGACCCCAGACGGAACAAGAGCTGGTGTCGACGGGACCGCCGTCGGAACAGGACAAGGTGTTGGCGGAAGAGGCTTCAGCAGGACCCCCAACAGAACTGGACATGGTGTAGGCGGGACCCCCGGCGGGTTAGGATCTGGTGGCAGCGGGACCTCTGACTGAACAGGATGTGGAGCTGGCTGGACCTCAGACGGAACAGGTGTTGGCGGGACCACCGGGGGGAAAGGTGTCGGCGGGACCCCCAACAGGTCAGGGCACGGAGTTGGCAGGATTCCCAGTGGAATTCCCAACGAAACAGGACAAGGAGTTGGCAGGACCCCCGGCGAGACAGGTGACGGTGGGACCCCCAATGGAACAGGACACAGAGTTGGCAAGACCCCCAGCGGAACCCCCAACGGACCAGGACATGGGGTTGGCACGACCCCGACGAAACAGGTGTCGGCTGGACCCCCAACGGAACAGGTTATGGGGTTGGCAGGACCCCCGGCAGAACAGTAGTCGGCGGGACCCCCAACAGGACAGGACACAGAGTTGGTAGGACCCTCAGCGGAACCCCCAACGAAACAGGACAAGGAGTTGGCAGGACCCCCGGTGAGACAGGTGACGGCGGGACCCCCAACGGAACAGGACATGGGGTTGGCAGGACCCCCAGCGGAACCCCCAACGGACCAGGACATGGGGCTGGCAAGACCCCCGACGAAACAGCAGTCGGCGGGACCTCCAACGAGACAGGACATGGGGTTGGGACTTGAGAAGGGACTAGAGATGGGAAATGAGAAGGGATTTGAGAAGGGACTTGGAAAGGGACTTGAGAAGGGACTAGAGAAGGGACTAGAGAAGGGACTTGAGAAGGGACTTGAGAATAGAGAAGGGACTCGAGTAGGGACTTGAGTAGAGACTTGAGTAGGGACTTGAGTAGGGACTAGAGAAGGGACTGGAGATGGGTCTTGAGATGGGACTAGAGAGGGGACTTGAGAAGGGACTTGAGAAGGGACTTGAGAAGGGACTAGAGAAGGAACTTGGGAAGAGACTAGAGGAGGGACTTGAGAAGGGACTAGAGAAGGGACTTGAGATGGGACTAGAGAGGGGACTAGAGAAGGGACTAGAGAAGGGACTAGATAAGGGACTGGAGTACGGAATTGAGTAGGGACTTGAGCAGGGAATTGAGTAGGGACTTGAGCAAGGACTAGAGGAGGGACCATTGCTGCTGGGGCCGGTACTGGAGCCGGAACCATGGCTTCTGGGGCTGGGACCATGGCTGCTGGGGCACGGGCTGGAATCCTGGCCTTGCGTTTCCTTCCATGCTGCCTTGAAGCCTTGTGGAGGCTCAGAGGTCCTCCAAAGGCCAGACGAGACCCAGCGAAAGGGTCCTTAAAAGGAGCCTTGTTGGGAACTGTGGCAGGCAGGGGGCTAGCATGCCAGGGGCTAGCAGGCTGGGAAACAGGTTTGACCTCAGCTATCGAAAAAGTCCTCCACCCATTCGGGTAGTAACTCCCTTAACCAGGGCCTCAAGGTTACTTCCTCGCGTGCCATAGAGATAATAGACT